AGCTGAGGTGTTACATCTGTGGAGGTCTTCTGGAAGGCATCCATCAGTCAGGGATGAAAGCGCTTATCAGATCATTATCAGCGCCCCATACTAATGAGACATTGCATTCCTGCGCGGTAGACTCCTCCCCTGGAAAATGCCACAGCGCTCATTTCCAGATTCAGCCTCAACCAGGGAAAGGCCAGCTTTCCTTCCTGAAGGCGATGGGGTGACCTGATCTCCCTCCTCCATAACGAAGCTAAAGGATAAGTTAACCTTTTTCTCCTTCCTGTGCAGGCTTTTCTTGCCCGTGACCCATTTGCCTCGGCTGCACTTGCTTTGCATAGCTTTTTCCCTGGAGCAAATGGTGCAAGAAAATGGGTGTGGTTTTCAGGTTTCTCAATACACGGTGGCTTTAAGGCTCTCAAAGGTGCTCTTGGTATGATTCTAATGAAATCTCTTCTGTAGAATCAAACTTTTCTTTTTTGTTTATTCTTTTCTTTTTCTTTTTCTTTTTTGGTACACATTCTTGGGACCAACCTGGCTTCATTAGTAAATGCTTTAACCCACAAGACTCCATTACTATGTATTGGACAAATGTGCCTACTTGACTTGCAGATACCAGACCCAGGCCGGCAGGAAGCAGCAGCACCCCGGCCTACCTCACTGACAGCTGGGAGCTGCCCGAAGTAGCCCGAGCCTGGCGCTGTGCATGTGTGCGTTCATTCACTCATTCGTCTGATCAACCTGTTTGTCTATCAGTGCACTGCTTGGCATCGAGTGTGGACAGCCCTTCCTCTGTCTTTTCTGACATGAAAGAAGTGGAGCCTTCCGACAAGACCGGGGCCAGTATGCCCTGTAGCCAACTCTCCAGCCCCTGAACCGCACCACCTTATCTACAGCGGTGGAGTTTTACTGAAAACACTTGTGTCCCTGGTTGGCTATGGGGCAGCCTTTGTGAAACTAAAAACTCAAGCCGTGCACCTGAATGACAGACGAGCTGAATGAGGGCCTGGTCAAGCACTAGTCTGGGCAGCAGCCTGCGGAAATGCAGGACTGTCTCTTGGAGTCCCATCTCCTTGGGTCAGCTCCTCGACAGTGTCTATGTCGGTGAGTATGAGAAAGACTGATATGCACTTTGGGTGTTGGAAACCCTGAAGTGGAGGAATTCTGACATGCAAGAGCCAACCAGAGAGCAGAGGAAAATTTTCTGAGTAAAAATTATGCTGCCACACGATGTTGGCTTGGTTCTCCGTCCAGACCAAACGCCAGGCTGGAATGACGGAGTCAGATGCACCGCAAGGGGCAAACAGAGCAGGCTGACTTCAGACAAACCTGGCTAAGCGCCCCGAGGCTTCTGCCACTGCTCAGCTCCTGGACTCCACTTACCAGCTGTGACCCGGGGCAAGTGACGCCTCCTGAGAGGCCTTTCCTCACACACAAAATAGTCACCATCATCATCATCATATATCTTTTTACACGGTTCCTGCAAAAATCAAATGAGACACTGTCTGTAAACATGACCTGGCACATTCAAGTGTTTGACATGTTAGTTCTCTCTGGGGCTTTACAAGGACTAAAGGAGCAGAGGCGAGGGCAGGTTGATGGATCAGAATGAGTGTGAGGTAAACTTTGGAGAAAAGTTAGTTTTTTTAATGGAATTTATTTTTAATTAAGTCTGACTGCTGAACTATTCTTGAATGGGATACCATGCAAAGACTGAACTGCAAATGTCTCTGGTGTATACGGATTACAAAATTCATAGCTTATTTTCTGGAATGAGCTTAGTGATTATCTGGTCAAAACCCATTCACAACTCACAAAAAGACGGGATGCCTTCCCAGATCACACACTAGTTAGTAGCCTCACTCCGTGCTACCTCTCACCTCCCTTCAGATGTGAGAAAACTAGAGACCACCTCTGACTAAGGATGCCCAGACCCTCCGACCATTCCTCGTATGACCACGAGCTCTCTTGACCATTTATTATCCTTTTCACCCTTCTTTAACCCGCTCCAGTCTTACCATGTTCTTTTTAAATGTGATGCCCAAAGCCGAATAAAATACACCAAATGCTTCTGACTATGGCAGAAAAAAAGAACAGTGACCTCTTTTGTTCCGGACAAATCTACGATTAAAGCAGTCTGTTGGCATCCACACCACGTTCGCCTTGCAGTCAGCTGAAATCTCTGGGACTTTTCTACACCTGAATGGCTGTTAGTCAGCCTCCCTCATCCTGTAGGTGTGTCATTAGTTATTTGTCCTGATAACAGAACCTTATGTTTATCACCATTAAATTCAGCGAGTTTAGGCTATCACTTGACTGTCAAGATCTTTTTGCATCATAATTCTGTCATCTCGTGGATTAGTTTTACGTCCCAGTTCAGTGTCAGGCTGTTATTCTGTCAGTCACATACCTCTCCCTTGGCTTCTCAAGGATAACCTGACAGAGCTGGTAGGTATAGCTCAGTGGTAGAACACATGCTTAGCATGCACGAGTTCCTGGGTTCAATCCTCAGTACCTCTATTAAAAAAAAAAAAAAGAACAATTAAAAAGTTAAAATAAATAAAGAAAAAAACATTTTAAAAAAAGGATACCCTGACAGACATTGACAGGTTTGCTGAACTCAAGAAACACATTCCTCTCAGCTCCCTGTTCACGTGATACCCTGACTCACAGCCACCCCATCTCAAATTCCAGTGTCTCCCGAGGATTTAAGACCTTCCAAACACTTAGAGATCCACGAGAAGGAGGTGGTCAGTAACTGCTATTGAATGCTTTCATCATCAGTTAAATTTCAAGATGAATTGAGAAGAATGGAACTGAGACAGGGGCTGCTATAGAAATTAAGCAATGCAATGAATGATTATTAAAACATCAGAAAGCAAGAGAGAATTTTTTTTTAATTCAGAGTAGTCAGAAGTGAAAACAGGAGTGCATCTCTGTCCTTTAGATTAGTTCAGTCTTTGTTGCTTAAAAATCAAAAGATTTATTATAATCTGCAAATTTTGCTTTTTATCTTTATTTTGAAAATGTCATGAGTGTAAATGGACTATCCATTTATGTAAGGTTCAAAATCACCTATGGTGTTAGAAGTCAGAATAGCAGTTGCTGTTGGAGAGAAGGGTGAAAGATTGATCGAGAGAGCCCAAGGAGGTTCTGGGGGGCTGGTCCATTGTGGTTTGTGATCTGATGGTGTTCACACAGGTGTATTCATTTTGTGGACATTCTTCAAACTGTACAGGTGTGAACTGTGCACTCCTCGATATGTAAATGATAAATGGAAACCAGTTTGTGATGATCAGAAAGCCTTTTATAAAAGTCTTTTCTTTTTTTTTTTCTTCCTGAGCACAAAGAACAGAAGAACACATAATTTAGTTCATTCATCAACCTGGTTTTGTGAGAGCCTTCTAGGTACAAAGCACTGTCCTCTGTAGAGTAAAAGGCACTGGGGCTCTGGAGACAAAAGATGGAGCAGGAACAGCCCCTGCCCACAAGGAGCTTACAGACCAGTGAGGGATAAACATGCACTCCACAGGAAACGTCCTGGGGTCCTAAGAGGGGTCAAGTGGCTGAGTGTCATGAAAAGCCATTTGAACAGAATTTCATATACTCAAGAATGACATATAATATTTGTGAATTTGTGTTTAGTGAATGACATTGTTTCACTACTCTGCTCATACAATGAAGAGCTTTTTAGATTCTATTTTTGTCCCATTTTGTGGCAAGGTCTAGAAGAAATTTATACACGCATCATCAATAAGAGATACGTGATTGTGTTATCAAAGATATTAAAATAATATATACTTTATAACATTGTTTTCAAAGATCTAACTTTAAAATATTTCAAACAGGGGAATGCCTGGGGAATTAATTATAAGGCAGCTTTTGAACATACAGATGAAATTTTTAAATGAAAAATCTATCCACCAACTGATGAACAGATAAACAAAATGTGGTACATCCATACAATGGGATGTTACTCAGCCAAAAAAGGAAGGAAGTACTGATACCTGCCACAAATGTGGATGAACCTTGGAAACATTACGCTAAACGAAAGAAGTCACATGCAATAGGCCACATATTGTAACATTCCATCTATATTAAATACCCAGAGTAGGCAAGTGCATAGATACGGAAGGCAGATTAGTGGTCTCCAGGGCCTGGGAAGGGAGGAATGGTGAGTGACTGCTAACAGGTACCGGCAGGGCGGGGGCTTACAGGGGCTCTTTTCCAGGTGATGGAAATGTTCCGGACTGAGGTAGTGGCAATGGCTGTTTGACCTTGTGAATACTAAAACCCACTGAACTGCACACTTCAAAATGGTGAATTTTATGGCATGTGAAATATATCTCACTAAAATATATGTAAGGCAATTTTCAAACATCCAGACGAAAATTTTTAAAACATAAAATTCTTAACTGAGAAATTCTCAATACAACTTTACATCTAACAAATGAGCACCGCAAAACACACACATGGAGAAGGAAAGTTATAAAGATCAAACTAGGGAGATGGGCTCCCATTTTTGTGAGCACTAAATCAGGATCTAAAGCACACCTTTCGCGCACGGCTTTGGAGGGACCAGGACATGACTGCTTGTGTCTGTGTCTCTATTGCTAATTCCAAACCTGGATTCATTCAGGACTGGATGACCCGCGTCAGTGAACATTTTATGAATTCCTGTTTTCCTTAAGCCGATTGACAACAAAACTGCTTTCACTTCCCTCTCTGATAAACAGCCCTTTCTCTGGTCCCTGTTGGTGCAAATTAGAGAACAGTTTGTGCCAATCAGCATTTATAGGTAAGATGAGTTTTCCAGGAGAGGGGCGGAAAGGACTCAAAGCAGCCAAGGAAAGGGCTCTGCGGAGGCAACCCAGGTAGGCCCCCAGTAATAAATACGTTTATTGCCTGGACAGTAAAAAGTACTGGAGAGTTTAAAATAAATTCAGAGTTATTTAAACTTAATTTATGACCAGGAAAATAAACCCTCTCTTCCACCATTAATGTTTTTTATCTGGGCCATCAAATGTCACACGCTACTGATTTTGGATGTAAGGTCACTGGAAACAACATATCAGAGGTGTCAGCACCACAAATCAAGTGAAATTCCCTTAAAAATAAAAACGTCAAGAGTAAAATAATAGGCAATAGTTATTTCATGCTATGAAAGACTTCTAATATATCAAAGGGTTCACCTTTTTTTACCTTTATGATGTATCACTTTTAACACTAAATATACTTCTGCTTAACAGATAAAGTAGAGAAAACAGGCATCAGAATGCCGGTGATAATAACACCGATGACATCTAATAAAACTGTCTGCAGGCATAAAAGCATTAGAAGGCAGAAGCCTGAATATATCAACAGACAACAATGACCCTGCGTATACAGAGTTCTGGTATCTAGCATATCAGTTATCTTAAGGGGTCACCTTAAAGGTTAACCAAAACGGTGTCTTTGAAATCAGAATAGAAATTATATTGGGTTTTGGTAAGGGGAAAAAAAAAAGAGCTTGCAAAGCTAATGTGGTTCCATACAGAGGTCCAAATCCGGGAGCAATCCTCTGGTCTTTTATCCAAGGATTGAATGAAACAGAAGCAAGTGCCAATGTGCTGGGAGGAGATGAAAGAGGAAGGAGGCTTGAGGCAGACGGGTTCTTTACGATCCTGATGTTAAACAACAGACAGGCGGTGGCATTTGCTGTGAGGCGTCGTTGCTAAATGCATTAACTCCTGGCAGGGTCAATTCAGCCAGGATTAAACCTTATGCAAAAGCATCTGACTGAAAGGGTTAGCAAAGCCGCAGGTAAAAATGACTTTGTTTCATCCTTATGACGTATCTTACAGCGATTTTCTAGGACGTTAAAGGTAAAATCTTGCTTCCTGATTGAAGGGCTCATAATCCAGTGGATGAAATGGCTCCAGGGAAGGATAAAGGAGAATGGAGCCATTCACGTAGAAGCACAAATTTCGCCCAAGATGGTAGTGAGCAGTTAGAGAAAAGCCATAATACTTCAGTTTAAGCCTCCCAAAGTCCTTTTATCATTGAGAGTAGCAGGGAGGGAAAGAGGAGGTCATGTTCACCAATCAGCAGGTAACAGGCGGCAGGAGATGGGCCAATGTCATCGCCAGGGTCACAGCACCGGAGCTCTGAATTCCAGAAAAGTCAGATATGACAGACTTTAGACTGGAGTATCCTTCTTGGCTTTGGTGGCTATAGAATTTTCATGATGCAAATGAATGTAAAAGACTTGAAAATCTATCTCCTTTCATGTGACGGATGAGGAAACTGAGATCCAAACCCAGGAGGGAAGTGCTTGGGGGCAGAGCCAAGATGGGAGCAAGCCTCCACTGTGGTCCCTGCCGCCGGCCAGGTGACTTGTGTGACTGCCACACACCAGCCCCCCTTGTGTGAAGCAGCTGTTCCAACTGGGAGGCAGTTCCCCTGGAATGACTCCCAGTCCTTGACTTGAATGGGATGCTAGTAAGTCTCACTGAATTCTCTGCACCTCAGTTTCCCCATGAAATTATTTGATATCTGCACCCATCAACTTTTCAGAATATTTCTATAAAGCCTGGGTATCTTAGGAGAAGACCACATAAGAATAGCCCCATACAACCAAGCAAGTAAGCAACTGAACTTCTAAACTGAAATCTGGCTCGGCCATGGGCTAGCAGTAGAACATTGTACAAGATGCTAAATGTTTCTAACTCTTGGTTTCCTTATCCACAAATCAGGGCATGTAATCATAACACTTATCTGACATGCTGTTGTGAGGATGAAATAAAAAAAGCTCTCAGGACCACAGAGTGTGCATTTATACAACAGAGGACAGGAAGTCTCTGGAGGCAGGAAACTGGAGATCTCAGGGGTCCTGGGCCACAGTTGTCCTGACACTCAGCATATCAGCCTTTACCTGCAAACACTGCCCTGAGTTGACTGTGAGTGTGGGACTGAATGGCGTGTAAACCATATAACAGCCCAGAGCTTCCCTACCCCAGTCTGTTATCCCTTGAGCCATCTGCTCAAATGATGGATGATTCCTCTGGTCCAGGTGGGGCTCGATTCAGAGCCACAAAGTGAGAGACAAGAGCCTCAGTGCCAGTCAGCACCCTATTTACTTGTGGATTTGGCTTATTAAAGACAAATGATGCTGATGCAGGTCCATGGGCATCAAATGAATTATTTATCCATTTGATGAAACTGTTTCATTGGAGGACTCAACCTTGTTTAACTCTTGAGTTTTCAGCCTGGTGTGTAGGAATTCTACTGAGCACTTTCTCATCACTTTCTCGATTTTGCTTTGGGGTGCCACCTTGAAAATTCATGGGCTACATAGTAAAGAGATATCTGTACTCAGGGCTTTACAAAGAAAAAAAAAATCAAAACCGAACTTGGGTTTGAGAAAACCATCAGTTTCTACAAAATGTTTATTGGAGAATCTGTTCTTGAACTGATTAGACCTTTGAAAGTCGCCAGTAAAAGATATTTAAAATCAAATGTAATGATACAGTGCTTTTATTCATTTTCCCTAACCTAAAGGGGAGCTTTTTCTTCCTTCAAGCACACAATTTCACTCAAAAGTAATTGCTAACTCTCTTTCATTCTATTACTTGTAAATTCAATATAATTAGAGACATATTCTAGCTAGTTCATTACTGGCTTGAATTTTTGCCCAGCGATTTTTCAGCCTGTTGCCTTTTCAAAACACTTTATTAAAAACTTATTTTAGTATCACACTCTTTAAAGGAAAAATAATAACTTCCAAATATATTTTATAGGAACCACTCAAAATACAGCATCCAATGCCAGAAACTAATAAACTCAAATCACAGAACTCACATCAGAAGGCTGCCATAAACTTTTAGAGCAGCTTGGACATGTGTGACCTGAAAATTGAAGTGCATGTGCTCTACTACATACTTTCACTGGAGAAACTGTCACCATGTCTTGCAATTTAAAAACCATGTTCTTATTCCATTCACTAGATTGCAAGTTTGCCCATAAATATCCTTCTTCCTCCTAAGAACTCCAAATACTTTTCCATCGCATTTCCCTGAGGCATCAGCCTTGTGGGCTGGTGTTTATTAGGCCTGTTTTATGGAGTGAGATGCTTGGATAGGCAATGGTTTTCAGGCCAGACCCTTGAGATGAAGAGTTTTGACCTTGCTGCTTAGTCCTGGGAGGTGGGGATTTCAGGGGAGAATGCCCTGGTGAGGGAAAGAGTCCACACTGACACCTGAGACCCAGAGGTGGGTTATCAGGCTTCACGGTCCATGTGTTAAATGGCCTGCAGGGTTGAAAGCTCGAGCAAATGAGCCCGTGTGTACACACGAAGCTCAGTGTTGGTGATTTTCTAGGTTAGCTCCTCGGGGAGCATGGGGCAAAGTAGGCAGCCCCTCCTGGAACTAAGAGCTGGAGACGGAGACTGACTTCGCGGAGAAGCAGGACTAATGGAAAAGAGAGAGAGTTGCTCCAGGCCGCCTTGTTACCTGGCAAGCTGAGTGCCTGCCAGGTGGAAAGGCACAGCTGACATCACAGTCTAGACAGGGCAGTTCCTGGGGACTCATTTCTTAAGTCAGCTGTTATTTCCAGTGGTAAATTCTGGAGGAGAGGAGTTTGAATAGCTTTTAAAAAATAATGAATCAAAGCATGAAAACGAGCCCATCTGGAAATGTGGCATCTGGAAGGTGTTTCTCCAACCGATGTCACACCATGTCTGGTCCACAGCAGGTAGATCTGGGGATCTCAGCACATTGGCTTCCTAGCTTCATAGCATTTAAGCATTGAGGTCTGAGAATAGTGAGTCTCCAGTCCCCAGGTAGAAAAATAGAGGCTAGCTGGTCATTATCTTAATTTCAAATGAAATACAGAAATTTGAGCCACACAGACTAGTTTTCCATTCTAAGATCTGAGGCCTTTACTTGGCTAGGAAGGGAAGGGTCCATTGGGAAGAAATCAGCATTTCCTCGTTCTTCTGAATTCCATCAGTGGAAAGCATGGGATCCAGTACCCAGTGGAATATTCTGATCTGAACAACGCATTTTTATTTTTGATAATACATGAAAATTGTAATTCAACTTCTATTCAATATGGGGGATCTCTGATCTCATGAATATGCAAATGATCAAAAATAGAGTGTAGTTGATACTTATTCTATATGAACAGAATCATTAGTTATGAATAAGAAAAGCTGATGAGTATATTTCCACTTCTGCAAACCAATTTGGCTTAATTTGCAAAATTAGTAGAAGGAACAGCCAAGTTGTTTAAAAAAAAAAACTCAATTCAACTTATTTTTTAAAAACTGATTTGGCTTATTTTAGTGCCCCCAGTTACAAATCTAACAAAATATGTATAAGACCTACCTCTATGAAGAAAACTACAAAACTCTGAAGAAAGAAATCAAAGAAGGTCTAAATAAATGGAGGGATATTCCATGTTTATAAGTAGGAAAACTCAATATTGTCAAGGCTTAACTTCTTCCTAAATTGATCTATAGATTAAACTCAATTCCAATAAAAATCTCAACAAGTTACTTTGTGGATATTAACAAACTGAATCTAAAGTTTATATGGGGCAAAAGAGCCTGAATAGCCAACACAAAGCTGGAGAACTGACACTCCTGGACTTCAATACTTACCATAAAGCTACAGTAATCAAGACAGCGTGGTATTAGCAAAAGAACAGATAAAGGATCAATGTAACAGAGTAGAGTACACAAATACAGTCAATTCATCTTCGACGAAAAAGTAAGCAATTCAATAGAGGAAAACTAAATCTTTCAGACCAGCTGGCACAGCTAGCATCTATACGCCAAAAAAAGAAAAAAAAACCCACGAAAGAATCTAAGCACTGACCTTATAGCC